ACTAACCCCCCACGTCCTGGCCTACTTCTACTCTGGTCTTCCACAGACAAGTCTACCTAAATTGCCTCCTGAATTCAAAATACTGAAGCGGTTTTTCTCTTCTCCACCTGACCTGCTCTGTAGATTGTTGGTCGACCGGGGAGCTCATGACTGGCTGGACAACACCTAGACATCAGTAAGTGTGGTATGGTAATAAAAAAAAAGAGACTTATTAAAAAAAAAAAAGTCTGTTCGGGGATGCAGATTTCTTCCTCTCATCCTCTGTATACATGGTTTTCTTGGAGTTTTGGACAGCACAGTACATACAGTATCACACTGTTAATTACTCGCCCCAGCACCGCACTCCACACTGCTGCATACTGTACGTACTGCACGCTTTCAGCACTCGATTTAAAGCCTCCTGCAAAGCCTCGTGTACAAGCTCTTTTGTTCTGATTCTGACTCTCCCTGCCCACGCCTTCACCACCCCTCCCCCCTCCTCCTGTCCGCGACGAGCCCCCACCACCGGAGCCGTGTTTACCTGACGTTCTGCGTGGGGTTCCACCTCTCGGAGGGCAGCTCTCCGCTCTGGGGGTCATCCACGGGGGGGTGCAGGATGGAGATGCACACATCGCCATTCTGGGGCAATAAAACACAGGGCCCGCAGGCGAGGCGACCAGAATGAACTCCCATTCACCGGTGTACCTCTCGTTCTCATGACATGTAAAAGCAGGGTGTAGGCAAGGAATAGTTATGACTCACACACTGCATATTTTGAATAAAAAAAAGCCCTAGCTACTGTTCTGAGTGTAACATGACAAACTATTATAATTATTACCATAATTACAGCTGAACCACTCTGGCCACTAGCCTACACAGCCCCCTGCCTCTTCCCCAGGCTCTCAGATTTCCCTCCCCTCTCGCTGTCGGGTCTAATCAGAAACCCCCCAGATCTAAACAAAAACCCACTCTACTATCTTCTCTTTCCCTGTCTCTCGCTTCCAGACCCTTTCTCTCAGGCCTCTGCTGAGCCCCAGAAGCCAGTGCTTCTTACCTCGTAGATGTTTGGGTGCCACATCTTGGTGAGGAACCTGAAGGTGGGAGGTGAGTAGGGGTAATCTATCGGAAACTTGATGTGAGCCTGCATAAAGACAAGAGAGAGAAGGAAGGGAAAGAGACAGGGGTGAGAATGGAAGAGCATGTCTCTTTCCACTGGGTTTTCAAGTACCAAAGAGAAGAGCGTTAATTCATGTTAGACCTGCTTTTCCTACAATTAAAATTCCAATCCAATTAAAACCAAAATCTTTGCTTCTCTCCCTCTGGCAGACTGCAATAACTCCAGTTCTTTAAGAATGAAAAAAAAAAATCAGTTTTGTGGTCCTGAAACAGCCAGGAGAGCAATGGGCATGTACAGAAAATAATGTACAATAAGCACTGGGAGACCATTTCAGGGAACATGTCAGAGCTGTGAGGATCAAAGATCTCTCCAAACCCATAGTTTCCTATTTCACCACTAACGGCCAGGATCATACTGATCTCTCTGCCTGTGTCCTCACAGAGAAACTGTAGAATTCCAGACAGACATCCGAAACCGAAATCATCCTGAAACCAGGATCGCACCTTCCCCCTTATCTCAGCCACAGACTCATCTCCTCCTAATCTTCTCGATTCATTAGCAGGTTTTGACTTCTCCCTGAGTGTCGATACTCCTGCTCCCTGTCTTTTGTTCTCCCATGCTTCACTATCTGCTGACGTCCCCCTCTCTCTCATGCCTGAAGAAGGCTCCACAGCCGGAACGTTCCCTTCTTTTCCTTCCAGCACGGAATAAATATACAAAGTTCAATAACGACATCCAAGAAAGAAGCAGCAGTGGGGTACCCAGAGCTCAATTAGAAGGGCGAACAGCATTCCCCTTTTACCAAATCCTTTCCCACTCATAACAGGAAGAGTTCTCATTCGTCAAGTAAAGCGTCCAGAAATCACCCTCCTAAAGACACATTTCCCAGACACACAAATCTTAAACCTTCTTAGGTCCATAACAGCTGGAGGACCACAGATGCAGACATACGCCAAAACCTTACATTGTACAAGGAAATCAGAAGGCCAAAGAGCAAAAGAAAGACTACAATAATGGGGGACTCAAATCTCCATCACACTGATGATAAAATGTGTATGGAAAATAACAGACAATTTGGAAAGAAAGAAGGTAACCAATGAGTTTATATTAATAATAATTGATAACGTCCTTCTAAGCTAAAGTGTCAAGACAATAATAAAAATAACTGTACTGAATTCTTATAAACAAAGGGTGACAGAAGTGAGAATTCGACTGGGGGATTGTAACAAATAACTGGCAGTGTTTCCCAACTGTGCACATAAAGCCTAAATTATGATTTCAGAAAGAAAATGTTCAGCGACAATTTAAGAGGAATAGACGAGGGTGACAGGAATAACAAATATGGAATTAAAAGGCAATGGATGTTTACAGACAGAAAAGTAGAATACAATTTCTCTGGCTAGAGGTACAGCGAAAACCCAACCCAACAGGAAAGAAATCCGTCTTGGAGGAAGAGGCCTATTGTATATACGGGGAGGACACAGGCAGAGGAGGCGTGTGAGGATGTTTGAGGATCTTCTACTCTCTACAGCTCCTGACACACAGACGACGTTCTGGACACGGCAGGACAGTGGAAACGTGCATCCGTGTTACTGAGGGAGATGCAGCCAGACTCCAACTGTGCAACGCTCCATGTCATCCATCTCTGCGTGTGGACGACAGGCAGCACTCGCCCGGCCTGGTACGTGCTGACTCGCTGTTTACCCTGTGCAGCCTAGCTGTGTGTCAGCACAGCCTCGAGTCCGGCCCCACAGAGGAAAGACAGAGGCTGCCTGCATATGGGAGCTCTGCAGGGAGGGGAATAATGGTGCTCATGAGAAAAGCACGCAGTGAGCAGACCAGGGCACTCACTCACCACATTCTGTGTGAGACAGCAGCAAACGCCAAAAGAGAAAAAGAGAGTGAGAAAAGGACAAGTTAGAAAGATACGGAGACAGCAGGTGCAGCATTCATCCCTCAGAGCTAAATATAGCAGGATCTCTGTGGGGGGGTCTGCAGTCTGGAGATCAGGACACAGCACGCTGACAGCGAGAGAAAAGAGGTAGCGTACGACTTGAGAGGCA